TTTCAAAAAGAAACTCTTCATTCAAAAAGAAAGTCACAGATTAAAAGTCAAGGGACTGAAAACAGTACTCCAATGCAAATCCAGAAAAAACAGGAAGCCAGTAAAAAAGCAGGGGTAGCTTTCTGTTTGCAGACAAAGTGAATTTCAAGCCAACACTGATCAGAAGAGACAAAGAAGATCACTATATTCTTGTTAAAGGAACAATCCAAGAGGAAGAGATAAATCATAAATATATATATGCAACAATCACAACATATATATATATGCAAGAATCATAAATATATATATACAACAAATACTGGTGCACCCAAGTACATGAAACAATACTAATGAATATAAGAAATCAGATAAACACTAATACAATTGCAATGGGGGACCTTAATATCCACTGTAACAAAAAGATCAACTAGACAAAAAAAATCAGCAAAGAAATATCACAGCTGAACAAAACCTTTGAAGAAATAAACTCAGTAGATCTCTACAGAGTATGGTACCCAAAAACAACAGAATACACACAATCTTCTCAACAGCACATAGGTCTTCCTCCAATACAGATCACATACTAGCTCATAGAACATGCTTATGTAAATGCAAAGGAACAGAAATTATCCCATGCATATTATCAGAGCATAGTAAAATAAAATTGGAAATACAGTAAGTTCCATTCTGAGAGAATTGTTCACAAGTCAGATTCACTGGTAAGCAAACAAAGTGACTCTTACATAGTTCACCTGTGAAAATTTGAAATTTCAATGTCCATCAGTTGGAGACTTAATGTAAAATGACAAAAGAAACCACAAAAATTGCATAAACACATGGAAATTAAATAATACCCTGCTGAACAACCCATAGGTCACAGATGAAATTAAAGAAGAAGTTAGTTTCTAAAAGTAAATGATAATGTCAGTAAGACATGCTAGAACTTAAGGGATGCAATGAAAGCAGTCCTAAGAGGGAACTTTACAGAAGTGAATTCCCACATCAGAAAAAGAGTGAGCTCAAAAAAATAACCTAATGTTGAACCTCAAGGTTCTACAAATAGAAGAGCAAATTAAACCCAAAGTTTGAGCAAGGAAGGAAATTACAAAGATCAGAGAAGTAGTTAATACAATTGAGAGACTAAGAAAATAGTACAAAATAATCAATGAATTGAAGAATTTGTTCTTTGAAAAATTAAATAAAGAAACCCCTAGCCAATCTTATCAAAATAAGTAAAGAAAAGGCCCAAATCCATGCAATCAAGAATGAAAAGGGTGAAATTACAACAGATCCTGCAAAAATCCAGAGGATAATCAGTATGAACTTATAGAATCTGTGTGTGGCAAGATGCCAAATTCAGAAGAAATGGACAAACTTCTAGATACATATGAATTATCAAAGCTGAATCAAGAAGATATAAAAATTCTAAATAATTAACTCAGTCAATGAAACTGAAAAAGCAATTTAAAAAACTACCTACAAAGAAAAGCCCGGCTCTTGACAGATTCACTGCTGAATTCTACAAGAACCTTAGACAAGATCTAGTGCCACTACTCCTCAAACTATTTAATGAAATTGAAAGGGAAGCAATACTCCCAAAGTCATTCCTAGAAGCAAGCATTAACCTGATACTAAAACTAGAGAAGGAGGGCCGGGGATATAGCTCAGTGGCATAAGCGCCTGCCTGGCAAACACAAGGTCCTGAGTTTGATTCCCAGTACAAGAAAAAAAAAACCCAAACTAGAGAAGGATCTGCCAAAAAAGCGAACTATAGGTCAATCTCCTTAAAGAATATAGATGCAAAAATCCTCAACATTTGACACTGGCAAACAAGAATACAGCAAATCATCAAAAAGATTATACACCATGGCCATGTAGGATTCACCCCAGGGATGCAGGGATGGTTCAACACATGAAAATCAATAAAGGTAATATACCACATTAACAGAACCAAGGACAAAAAAAAAAAAAAAATCATCTCAACAGACACAGAAAAAGCATTTGACAAAGAATGGTCCAAAACTGAAAGCTTTCACTCTAAAATCAGTAACAAGACAAGCATGCCAACTATCACCACTCTTGTTCATTATAGTTCTGGAAACATTAACCAGGGCAATTAGACAAGAGAAAGAAATAAAAGGAATATGGATAGGAAAGCAAAAAGTTAAATTATTATTATTGGCTGATGACATGATACTCCACATAGAAGACCCCAAAACTTCCACCAAAAGACTCCTAGAATTAACAACCAAATTCAGTAGTAGCACAACAGGATACAAAGTCAACACTCAAAAATCAATTCTCTTCCTACACATGAATAACAAACTCACTGAGAGAGAAATTAGGGAAACAACATCTTTCCCAATACTACCCAAAAACCTGAAATACTTAAGAATCAATTTAACAAAGGAAGTAAAAGACCTTTACATTGAAAATTACAGTACTCTGAAAAAGGAGATCAAACAGGATATCAGAAAATGGAAAGATAACCCTTGCTCTTGGGTAGGAAAAACCAATATAATGAAAATGGCCATACTTCCAAAATTGTAATACAGATTTAATGCAATTTTGATCAAAATTCCAACAGCGTATCTCACAGAATTAGAGAAAATCATCCTAAAATTCATTTGGAACCAGAAGAAACCCAGAATAGCAAAAGCAGTTCTGGGCAACAAAGGCAATGCACGGGTCATCACAATCCCAGACTTGAAATTATACTACAAAGCTGCTGTGATAAAAACAGCCTGGTACCAGCAAAAAAGCAGACCTGAGGATCAATGAAACAGATTAGAAGATGCAGAAGGCACTCCAGATACACTTAGCTACCTTATCTTTTATTTGTTTGTTTGTTTTGTTTTGTTTCCGGTACCAGGAATCAAACTCATGACATCACGCTTGCCAGGCAGGCGCTGTGCCGCTGAGCTAAATCCCCAGCCCTTAGCTACCTTATCTCTGACAGCAAATGCTGGGATAGCCATAGTGAAAAGGGAGCCCTTCTTCATTGCTGGTGGGAATGAAAACTAGTACAACCATTACGGAAATCAGTATGGAGACTTCCAAAAGAACTGAAATTACAAATTCTGTATTACCCAGCAATTCTCCTGCTAGGTATCTTCCCCAAAGAGTTTAAGACATCATACTATAGCAATACATGCATACCAGTATTTATAGCAGCACAACTTGTAACAGATAAATCTTGCACACAACCTATATATCCATCAACAGATTAGATACAGAAAATGTGGTATCTGTATATAATGGAATACTATCCTGCCGTAAAGAATGACACACTTGAGATATCTGTAGGAAAATGGATGCACCCAGAAAATACAATATTGATGAAATAAACCAGATACACAAACTCAAATACTGTATGGTAGCCCTCATTTGAGTGAGGCAAAGTATAAGGGGAACAGGATGTGGATCTCTTACAATAGGGAAGTGGTCCAAGGGAAAAAGCATGAAGGGTAAGGAGGAAGAGAGGGGGAAATAAGTAGAAAGAAGATATGCCATGTACAGGAACCTAACACCCTTAGTTAATGTAAACATTATATGCTATAACATGCATGAGCAAAGATGAACAGTATCAACAAGAATGAAAAATACGATAGGAAATTGGAAGAAGAGCAAAGGAGGGGGAGGAAAGGGATTTTAAAAACAAGAAACAAGCTGTAGTATATACATGTAACCATTCCCCAAGATGATTGTAAATTGCATGAATCATAAGAATATACTATTACATTTTTTAAATGGGCATATGAAATGAACAGTTGTACAGAACAGCAAAAAATTTATGAAAAAGTGTTCAACATCACTGGTCATTCAAGAAATGCACATTAAAAGAACACTGAGATTCCACCTCACTTCAGAGAGAATGGCTACCATCAAGAAATCATCAAATAAATGCTGTCAAGGGTGCAAGGGAAAAGAAACCCTTCTCCATTGTTGGTGAGAGCATAAATTGGTATAACCACTATGGAAATTCCTCAAAAAACTAAAACTTGTGGTTCCATTCAACCCAGCTGTACCCCTTCCAGGTATCTTCCCTAAAGAGTTAGAAGGCACTGTACAATGATGACAAGTGTATACCCATGTTTATAGCAGCACAATTTATAATAGTTAAATCTGGGAAACAGCCCATATGCCCATCGATGGATGAATGGAATAAAAACAAAGTGGTATTTATATACAATGGGGTACTACTGTGCCATAAAGGAAGATAAATTTAAGTCATGTTTAGGTAATTGATGCACCTTTAGACCACAATTTTAAGTGAAATAAATCAGACATAGAAGTTTAAATATCAAAAGGGCTGGGGATATTGCTCAGAGGCACAAGCGCCTGCCTGGCAAGCATTCCCAGTACCCCCCCACACACACACAAAAGAAGTTTAAATATCGCATTGCTCCTCTTGTACGAGAAACCCAAAGGGTAAATAATGATCAAAACAGAGGATATTAGGACGTAGGAAGAACATGGTCAAATGGGAAGAACAAGGGAGGGGGTAAAGGAGAGGAAGGAAAGGAAGAGAAAGAGACTTCAAAAAAAGAGATTGGTAGGGGGAAATGGAAACAAAGCTCTTCTAAATGGGGAGGGGAAGAAAGGTTAAAGACAAGAGAGGAGAATGGGGAAAAAAAGAAGAATTAAGATATATTATGTATAGGTACAAATCCCCCATGATGAATGTGATCATTACATACAGCAAATATGTACTAATAAAAATGCAATTAAAAAATGCAACAATTAGTATTAGCTACTTATAAAAACTTATAATCAACTGCAGTATAATTTCATTTTGAAAGCAAAAAGATGCTAACAAGTAAAATTTAAATTATTGTATCAGCCGGGTGTTGTGGGTCACGCCTGTAATCCCAGCACTCAGGAGGCTGAGGCAGGAGGATCATGGGGAGTTCAAGACTAGCCTGGGCTACAAAGTGAACTCAAGGCCAGTCTGAAATGCATAGCGAGACCCCGTCTCAAAAAGACAATCAAGCAATCAATCAATCAATAATTGTATCTACCTGCATTGTGTGTCTCCCGGTTTTTCTTTCTGAAAAAAAAGAGAGTCGTGTAGGTAAAAGGTAATGTCAAGATAATGGGAAAGCATTTTACTACATACTCTGTATTTTGAGAACCATAAAAATTAAGCTTTATGAATTTGTTTTTGTTGTACTAACAAGAAATCACCTGAAAACAATTTTCTTAGTGCCTTATTATGATATGAAAAATCTAATGATAACTCCACGTACATTTAGAAGACACCATTTCTGGAAATAACCGTAATTCTAGATTGTTTGATACCCAAAAGTTATGGGTTGAAAATAGAATCAATCACTGAAATTTTTGCTGTTTAAAAAAGTGTGATTTATGTGCTAGCGAATTCTCACCGCACGTGCCACGTAGGTGGCTTCTGCTGTCTGCCCTGGCGCCCAGGCAGGAGTGAGTGTGAGTAACTCTGCAGTCCCCCAGGGAGGGAAATGTGTTGGCCAACAACACACTTAAGCATGGACAACTTGCACTGGAGCCATCTTTTGCATCTGTACCCTCAGATCATCCAAACTTCTAAATCCTCTTTGGAAAGTTGAGACAGAAGAACTACAAATTTGAGTCCATGCTGGGCAATTTAGAAACTCAGTGAGATTCTCTCCAAAATAAAAAATAAAATGAGCACTGGGGATATATTTCAGTACAAAGGGAAAAGGCCTGAATTCAATCACCAGTCACATGCAGACAGAGAGAGAGAGAGAGATCCAGTAGCTCTTTGGCAAGGAAAGAGAATAATAATGTCAAATATTGACAAAGGTACTAGCCATACAGTTCTAAGCAGAGACATTGCCCAAAATATCAGACATTCAGAAGATGATTTCTTTTTCAAAAAAAGTAATATTTTATAGATAGGCATATTGCCATTGAAGGATTATAATGTTACAAAATGTCTATGTCTATTTGAACTGACTGTGGACTAAATGTTTCAGGATCTACAGAATATTGTATGCTGCTAAAAAAGGCATTAGAAACTGAACACTAAGCATAGATTATCACGATCCACTATTTTAACTACTGCTGGTCAATCTTACTCGTTAGAGCGCTAGTAGAATAAGAAAGACACGTAAAATTTAAATTTCAGCAAAGCTATTCACATTTACCCACACATACTGTATGGAGAATAATCATTTCCAGCCATTCACACGAAACCGTGCCTAGGACCACCTACTTGCAAAATGGGAACTGCGTCTGCCTCCTACCCCCCAAACTGTGTCTACACCACTTCTAGACTGTGGATACACACCTGTGCTGCTTTTTTGTGGGAGTCTCATGCTCTGTCATTTCTGGCATGGTGAGTGACAGGAACCTACAAAGGGACAAAAAGAGACAGAAAGTACAGTCATTCTAGAATCCTGAGAAAAATGATCAATAATAATATGATTTCAATAAAAAATGCTAAGAAGTAAAATGATACTGAAAAAGCGCTGGGTTAGATACTGTGGATGAAAAAGGTATAAGAAAACAGGGCAAAAAGTATAACTAGCAGATGTAAAATGTGGTGAATATCAAATGTGAGGAATTTCCAGACAAACACTTCAGAAGTTTGAAGCAGAAAAGTATCACTATGGCCTCAGAAATCAAGAAAAGATTAAATAGGATGTAAATCTGACCAAGATTTAGAAAGACAAGTAGCACAGACTTAAGTCTGCAGAGTATATTCTTTGTTCATGACATTGAAGTGTCATCTAAAATTTAAACTACACTTCCTTTCTGAACATAGGAAAAAACAAAACTTACAAACCCACAAATGTAATATTCCATCTGTGTAAGCAAACGTTCATTCTCTCACTCATTTGCCAAGTTTTCTTTAAACTAGAAATCTCAGGTTATCACTTGAAAGTCTATAATATCTGGGCATGAAAATTATATTCATATATTTGTATGAAATGTAAGGATACTAGGGCCAGGGATTATAGCTCAGCAGCATAAGCGCCTGCCTGGCAAGCATAAGGTCCTGAGTTCGATTCCCAGTACCAAAAAAAAAAGAAACTTTTGGGGCCAGGGGTATAGCTCAGCGGCTTGGCAAGCCTGAGGTCATGAGTTCGATTCCTGGATACCAAAAAAAAAAAAAAAAAAAAGGTGAAGATATAAACTATAAGGAAACATACACATATATGGGAAAAGTCTGGAGGCAAAAACATCAATATATTAATCATAGTTATGTAAATCACCAAGATGATAGGGACTTCTTTCTCTCCTGTTATTTTCAATAATTTCATAATGACAACTTTAATGCTTTTAAATCCTGGGAACTGAAAACCTTCCAAAAGAGGTCTGCCAAGCTAGTTGGCTGCTCCAGCACACTGCAGGAGGGGCAAGCCTAACTGCCCTTGTTCCTCTGAGAGAGGAAAGGAAGCTGCAAGGATGAAATCAGAAAACAGAACTTCCACCATGGCCCAGCTCTCAGGTCTTGGGCAAGATGTTGAACCTGTTAGAACCTCAGATGTGTCACCTGCATGACTGGATCATTTTGAGATGGGAATGAAATAATGCAAGGAAGCCGAGGATGTGGCACAGGCCGGTAATGCCCGCAATCAGGAGGCTCGAGGCAGGAAGTGTTGCGAGGTTGAGGTGGGCGTGAACCACATAGTAAGAACCTATCAAGAAAGGGAAGGGAAGAGGGAGGGAGAGGGGGAGGGGCAGGGGAGGGGGAAGGACAAGGGGATGGGCAGGAAAGGGAAGGGGAGGAGAGGAAAAGAGAAAGAGAGAGGGAAAAGAGAGAAAGAGAGGGACAGAGTGACAGCGAGAACGACAGCAAGCACAAGGATAGCACAACACCATGGTGCCTGGCAATAATACGGATTTAAGGAACGTTAGCTATAAGTATTAATGAGGTATTTCATGGTAAGCTCTATCCTAGAAAGGAGCGAATTTTACTTATGTGAAAGGGAATATAGCCAAGTGTGGTGGCTACATGCCTGTAATCCAAGTACTCAGAAGGCTGAGGCAGGAGGATTGCTAAATATTCAATGCCAGTCTGTGCTACATAGGGTCAGCCTGAGCTACATATAGGCCAGCCTGAGCTACATATAGAGACCCTGTCTCAAAAAACAAGCAAACCAAATACAAAAAAAAAAAGGAATTCAGGCAGGCAAGGGGATGACACTAAGTACTGACTAAAGCAGTCGACAGAGAATGTATACCCAAGATCCACTCCCTGAAGCTTATTCCTAGGCTACCTTCTCTCTACAACTTGTGAAGGTACATGGGCCTAAAAGCCATGCACTCGCTTTAGATAACCACTGAATGATAATACGCCACAAGTAAAGAAATGATCTCTGTCACCTTTCTCACCCAAGGCTTTGCAGTTTCTTCACTTTTGATTCCTGGCTTCCAATACCTCCCGTTTCTGATCCAAATCTATCATCTTCTGCCAGAAGATGGTCTATAGGTTATGTTTTCTTCTAACTACAAAAGAGAAAAATCAGTGAATGTTCATAGTTGCTGTGAGCCCATGAGCAGCACGTGGGGTAAGAGCTGGCACCTGACGGCATGCAGGGCAGATTTCTAGTGGCAAGCACGAAGACCCTGAATTCTCCCCACAATCTGAAAGTAAATCAATGCAGTTGCTCCCAAGTCACTTTCCAAGGGGCCACCCATACTCTGCCCCACAAAGATGGTGTCCTAGAAGCCAAGGACAGGCCTGGAAGACTCTTCCATGCATGCTCACTCGATGTATCCATGTGTTGTAAATGACTCTATTCCGTTCCTTTTAATGCTGGAAGCCCTCACTCCCGCAGCCCTCACTGCCCACGGTTACCTTAAGTCCCCCGCCTAGATCTGCCATCAAATCTTAGATGATTTCCCTTTTATTTCCTACTTCCCCCTTTTCTCTCAGAATAGTGACTAGAAACTTGAGCGAGCACTCAGACCTGTGTGTGAGACTTGCTCAAAAAAAAAAAAAAAAAAACAAATAAAAACCAGATTTCAGGTCATCATCCAAGACTTGATAAATGAGAAGCCTTGGGAGGGAACAGGAATTTGCATTTTCAACAAGTTCCTTATGTGCTTTTTTTTTTCTTCCTTCTTTTCTTCCCTCTTTTCCTCTTTTGGCACAGAAAGTTTGAGAATCTTGGTTCTATTTTAGGCAATGTTTCTCAAACAAAAGTTTCTTCATATTTGTTTCATATCTATTCTTTCTACCCCCTCTCCTATTTGCAGGTAAACCCCTTCTCTCTAGCCCTTCCTCTATTCTGTTTTTAATCAATATAGATTTTGTATTTTCTAGAAATTTTAAGCTTTATTGACTGATACATAAAAATTGTACATATGTGTCTATTTATAGGTACCTCCAATACATGTGCACACAGTGCTATGTTCAAATCTGGTAAACCTATCTCTCCACAGCTTTATTTATTTTTTTATTACAGCTTGAACCCAGGGACACACACATGCTAGGCAAGCACCACTAAAGTACCACCCTAGACCTTTACTTTTTTTCTTTTTTTGAGATAAGGTCCTGTAAATTGCTGGGCTGGTCTTGACCTTGCAATCCTGTCTCAACTTCCCAAGTAGCTGGGATTACAAGCACATAACACCATGCAGAGCTATCATTTCTTTATGAGAAGAACATTCGAAATTTTTCTTCTAGCTTTTTTAAAACAGTATATTACCACTACCCTTCGTCACCCTACTTTGTAACAAACACCAAGACTTCCCCCTCCCAATTATATCTTGGTACCCACTAATCACCCTTCCCCCATCCTGCCCTCCCCACCACTGACTTTCCTCAGCCCCTGGTAACCACCATTCTACTCTCAACTTCTGCAAGACCCATACTTTTTAGATTCCACCAATGAGTGAAATCATGTGATACTTGTCTTTCTGTGCCTGGCTTACTTCACTCAACATAATAACTTCCATTTGTATCCATGTGTTGTAAATGACTGTACTCCATTCCTTTTAACACGGGAATAGTGTTGCACTGTGTAATGTACCACATTTTCTTAACCCATCCACCAGCTGATAAACACTTGGTTGCTTCTGTTTCTTGGCTACTGTGAATACTGCTGCAGTAAACATGGGTGTACAGAGGTCTCCTGGGCAGACTGATTTCATGTCTTTTCAACATACACTCGGTAGTACTACTGTGTATCAGATCATAGTCCTATTTTTAATTTTCTGAGGAACCCCCCACACTGTTTTCCACAGTCTTTATCAAACTCATGACATCACACTTGCCAGGCAGGCGCTGTGCCGCTGAGCTAAATCCTGGTTGTGTATGAATATCCCCATGCAGCTCCATTCAGATTGACACAGAACATTACCAGCCTCTCAAACATCTCCCTTGTATTCCTTACCACTTGTCTTAGTTACTTTTATCACTGCTGAGACAAAATGCCTGATGCCCAAAGTTAAAGGAGGAAAGGTTTATTTAGCTCAGCTTGTAGAGATTTCAGTCCCTAATCAGCTGGCTCCAAGGCAGCACGGCACCACAGAGGAGAAACAGTTCATGGCAGGCAAAAGGTAGCAAAGCAACAAGGGACAACCACAGCTCTTTCTAGCCCTAATATTTTAACCACGCACTCACACCCTTAATCCTACTGCCTTTGATCCTAGCATTGCACCACGAATCAATCCCAGCATCACACATTCTAGATCCAGCCACCTCAAAAAAGCTCCACCTATGACTACAGAAGGCTTTGGGGCACATCTAGACACAAACTGTACATCAGGGCTGTTGAATATGTTTCATAAATTTGTTGGCCATTTATACTTCTTCCTCTGAGCAGAACTTATCATTTCACTTTCCCATTTCTTGACTGGGTCTTTTATTTTAAGTGGTCTAATTTTTTTTAGTTCTTTATATATCTTGATATTAGTTCTCTGCCTGAAGAATAACTAGCAACATTTTTTTCCTATTTTTAGGCTGTCTCCTCACCCTACTAACTGATTCCTTTGCTGTGCACAGGTTTTTAATTTGATGTAATACTATCTGCTAGCTCTTGCTGTTACTTCTTGTGCAACTGCAGTTCTGTTTAGGAAATCCTTTTCTATACCTATGACTTCAAGTATTTTACCTATTTTATCTTCCAGTAGGTGCATGTTTCTGTTTTAGTGTTTAGATCTTTGATCAATTTTGATTTTAGTTTAGCACACTGTGAGAGATATACATCCAATTTCAATCTTCTGCAAATATCCAGTATTCCTAGAACCATTAGTTGAATAGGCCATCTTTCCTCCAATGGAGGGGATTTTGGCCCCTTTGTCAAAGATCAAATAACTGAATGTGTCTAGGGATGTTTCCGTATCCTCTATGCTGTTCCATTGATCCACATGTACATATACTCAAAAAATATGCTACTACCTCATACATTGCTGGTGGGAATGCAAAGTGATATAGTCACTTTGGAAAAGGTTTGGCAAGTTACACAGAGCTACTGCATGACCTTGCAATTTGATTCCTAGGTACATACCCAAGAGAACTGAGAACATATGTTCATATCAAACTTGTACAAAAATGAGTTGAAACAACTTAAATGTACATCAGAAGATGAATGAATAATAAAATGAAGTATAATGCTGAGTAATGGAATATTATTCATCATTAGAAAGATATGAAATACAATTCATGCCACACCATGAATGAATCTTGAAAACACACTATGCAAAATGCCTCAGGCTAACCATCACATATTGTATTATTCTGTACAGAACAGGCAAACTTGAAAAGTCCAAAAAGTAGGTTAGCAGTTGTCAGAGGTGTGAAGAAAGAATGAAAGATGACTGCTGGTGGGTATGGGGTTTCTGGTGCTCTTGAATTAGAACATGAAGGTGGTTACACAACCCTGTGAATATACTAAAAGGCACTGACCTACACTCTTTACGAGGGTGAGTGTGTTGTATGTGAATTATATCTCAACAACAATATAAATAAAACAAAGAGGTAAAGCAAAAAAAAGTGTTCTATGAGTACAAAATATTTGATAGCTTCTGAATTAATCATATTAATAAAACCTATTTTAATAAGTCATATTAAAATAAGCAATTCAGCCAGGCACGGTGGCACACAACCATGTAACTTCAGCACTCGGGAGGCTGAGGCAGGAAGAGTGCCATGAGTTTGAGACCAACATGGCCCACACAGTGAGTTCAAGGCCAGCCTGAAATACAAAGTGAGATTATGTCTCAAAAAAAAAAAAAAAAAAAAAAGATAAAACAAGTAATTTGTCCAAAGCTGCACAGTACATAAATAAAGGAGGCAGGATCTCTGTTCTGTCAACTCTAAAGCTCAAGTTGTTAACTATTTTCACAATGCTTCCCTACATGGAATACTAAATGTAATACTATATACATTTCAGACTATGTCTCCAAATATTATAGTCCCTCTTTTTCAATCTACATCCTGGATTTATGTAGACAGTAATATCTAGCTCAAAAAATTCCTTCTCTTTTCTTTTCTTTTTTGAGACAGGGTCTCTCTATGTAGTTCTGGCTGGCCTTGAACTTACTATGTAGCCCAGGCTGGCCTTGAACTCCTAGTGATCCTCCTCCCTCAGCCTCCTGAGTTCTGGGATTATAGAAAGTTTTTGTAGCCGAAACACGCTCAACAAGCAAACTTTTCTAATAAGCCTCTGGCTCACAGAAAACTAAGACACAAATCAAAAAACTCTGTATGCAAATAAAAAGCAACTTGACATAGTTGTTGCATGAAACAAAATATTAAAATAATCTACGTTAGACCTATGTTAAATGCTTAAAATGGAATTCTACTGTCAGTACTATTTACAAAGTAAAAGATTAGGAAGATGAACAAAGTTGAGAAACTCAATTTCAAAACTTATTACAGAGCTATAGTAATCAAGAGAGTGTGGTTCCAATATCGGACAGGCACAGATCAAAGGAATAGAATTAAGGATAGAGAAGTAGAAGGATAGAGAAGATACCTGTAATCCCAGCACTCAGAAGGCTGAGGCAGGAAGATTGAGGTGGGTTTGAGGCCAGCCTAGGATACAGAGGATTGCTGTGAGTTCAAGGCCAATCTGAACTACCTAGGAAGACCCTGGCTCAAAAAAAAAAAAAAAAAGAATAGAGAAGTGGAGCTGAAAGTGGTACTGCATACCTGTCATCCTTACAATTCAGGGGGCTGAGGCAAGAGGATCACTGCGGAGGACCACCTAGGCGACTCTCCTTGAAAGAGGAGCAATTGCCTCCGTTTTGGCTGGGCCTGACCCTATTTCCATGTATTGATATATACTAAGCTGGCTAGGACTTTTCCTTATCCCTGAATTGGCTTTAAGCAATGCATATCAGTCTAGCTGAGGTGCTGATGGTCATCTTTGGAGATGGCAGGCGTGTTTCCCCGACCCCCTGCTGCTCCCTCAAGTGACCTAGGATGAGGCAGGATGTGTGGGCCAATCCTCCACGCTGTCGACCTGGATCAAGCCTCGAGCCTCGGGAATAGAGGCGATTACACACCAGAGCTGAAGCACTGACCCCAAAATATTAGACACTATCTCAACTGAGTTATGCAGATTATTTTTTCTGCATATCCTTCTCTCTGCAGATGGTAGAGGTGATTTCAGGCCTCCTAC